AGCTAAAACCTGGTCATATTATGTTTAACAACTTTAGTTTAAAGTCCTTACACTCTATGAAATATATAAAGGATTTACACCGTAGCGCCAATAAGAACGAACCAAAGACAGAAATATTTTAAATATAAGTAGAATGTTAAAAATATATTATAATTGTTCAAACTAGTGTGATGTTTGTATCCTAGAACAAAAATAAATGCTCATGACTGTATTTTCAAGTAGATTTACAGCGGGCATGTGCAGTCATAATAATTTATAGTGTTTTAGTGTGCGTTAAACTCAAATTCAAATAATAAAAACGTAACGTTTATACTTCTTTTTATTTGCATTCAGATTTAGTGTTGATGAAATAACGTGAAACCGAAGAAAGTTTTAATTTTTTTACATTTATTTTTCGACTTCTGACCACAGCTAAAATATGTGAAGTGTAATAAAAATATTTACCTACACGCAGGCCCTCCCACATGTGGCAAAAAACATCAGCGCTCGCCCCCATACAAAAGAAAGAGCATTGCCAAATCGCCCTTTGCCAATCAATCGCGACATCGACTCACGATTGGTTACCCCACACGTCCCCTTCACCACAACCATTACACATTAACCCCTAAATCAAAACCAGTTTCTTACCACCGCGTTTAAAACGACTAGGGTGCGAGAGCTCAACACAAAATGGTTCACCACACGCATGATGCAATAAAAATTTTATTTTCCATGATTTCCCCCGTTTCGGGGATCCTCGGTTATCCTCGTGGGGATTCGACCAATCAAATTAAATTTGCGATTGACGTTCCACCGTTCGAATTTCGAACAACGCATTCAAATGTCAGAAGAATTATTTATATATTAACATTTTGTAGAAATAAAATATAAGAAAATTTCAATTTTAAGATTAGATTATCATTTAAATTTGTTTCTTTTATAGATATAGAACGTTTGGACGTTAAACAATTGATTGATTGCATTTGTTACAAGTTTGGAAACAGATAGGTTGTTCAGAAAACTTGTCTAAAATATAACTAATGAATAAATGTATTAGAAGACAGATATTACGTAACCAGCCTATAATATTATCTATAGAGACCAGTATGATGTCAACAACGTATTAAGCCGGCTCAACTTATCTCAAAAATATTTTCGATGTAAAATTTAAAAGTAAATTATTTCAAACGTATTTATGCTTTTTTACTACCCATGAGAAAGATTGACTTAATAACTCGCTAAAATCATAAGTATTTTGAAATAATTAAAATTAAGTACTTTTTGTTCTTCGTGTCTATTTATTCATTACAATTTTATTTTAAAATCATTAGCTATTAAAATCATTTATTGCCACTTAGTTATAGAACCATTCCTTAATGCGCAAGGATTTTTTTTTAAATACGATTCTATTTTTAAAACCATATTTGTTCTAACAGCTTATTATAGCCACTACTATTTTTAAAATTTTAGCAACTGATGTATTTTTATGCATACAGAGTACATTACATAACTTTTATTTGTTGGACGGTAAAGTTCACATTTGCCTGTCTATAAATATGTAAAAGGGGTAACAAATTTGTTAAAATTTTGTTTGATAGGACAACGGAGTCCTTTGCGGGGGATCAAAAAAAACATTAAACTGTATAAAATCTGGCCCTCTTCTTCAATAATATGTTTAAGTACGCACACATGTTGTTTATTTCACATTTTAATTTTATTTTCAGCATATAGTAGTTCTATCTTTACTGTAACACTATAAATACACTATAAATAAAGATGAGATAAGATTTAAACGGGAAACCACCCAACGGTTTAACTATCACTTAATATACCTATTTATAGTTATGTTGATATTTATGGTATGTTAAATGTATTTACCAAACCAACAATAGGCTTTAAATACGCCTTGCAACATCGTTCACGACCAAAGTAAAAACAATACAAAACAATTATATGAAAACATAATTGTAACTTATCAAAAAATAGATATTAAAAGCAATCAGAAAACCCCACAGACTAGGCTATAATCGTTTCATCTCACACGCACTTCCAAACCTCGATGCCTGTACCATATTAATTTAGCCACTACAAAAGGCAAGAAAATTAGTTCACCATTGATGAACTTTCAACTGCGGTAGTTGCACGATGGTTGCTCTTTAAACGCACCGTTCACATAAAAAGTGTTTAATTTATTTTTGTCTCATATACAATGAGGAAGAGAGTATATTGTCCATGGTTTAGTTCAGTTATGTGTGATAAATAGTATTCAATATATATTTTTTTTATTTATAGAGCAACTACAAACAACAACTGTATTTTTAATATTGAAAGGAATTATTTTCCTTGTATCCAACATTTTGATCATTTTGCGAAGTGCTTAATTTTTTAGATTGAATTTATTTGCACTTCGCCTTAAACTATCCCAAATATAGTCCCAAAATCGAACCGATTAAAACCATATGGTGTATCATCACGATGTTTGATTATCAGGACCCCGGGGTAACATATATGAAGGTAATCCGACACCGGACTACAGAGCGAGTAAAACTAAGTCCTTGTGGAGGTTATCGATAGCTTTAACTATTCTGGACCATAATTACCGTTTCAAATTCTCCTCTTTAGTAAACATCACTTGCTTACAAAAAAAAAAGCGATTTCATGTCAAAATGTGATTGAGCGGGAAAGAAATAACAACCAAAGAAGGTACAGCTTAGCTGGGGATATTGATTTCAAGGGTCATCTTGTCATTAACAATAAATACCATAGAGAACAAATTTGTTTCTAAAATTACAAACGCTTATTACACACATACCATTCAAATTAAACGCCCAGCAACTGGTTGCCGGCGTTTTCTAAACAATAGAGCGGTCGCCGTCGCCAGATCACCTATGATTACGTAGGGCCTCGCCCCTATTATATTAACATGCTAACCCTTTCGATTCATTACTGGCGTACCTTCGTACCGGCATTCAACTCGGCTTCATTTTTTTATTTTGTTCCTATTATTTTATAGTGTGACGTCAGTTTGTGTAGTGGGGCTACGATGTTTTGATCATAGGATTACTTAACAAAACGCCACAATTTATTTCAAAATGATCAATATTATATTGGAATAAATCTCCAATAATACCTGTTTTGAGTATTATTTTTTATTTTGCGTAGAATTACTAACGAAATCCTGCGCAGTGAAATTATGTTCTTTGTCCTTCTCTATTAACTTCTATCAAAGCTCTAAATATATATGTAGCTATCATAGCCTATTCATTTAATGTAAATATATAGAGCAGCTACGCATTGCTCTTTGAATATTAATCTTAAAGGAATTAAAATTGTCACTTTGTGTCAATTTTAATTTAACACATACATTTTTATAAAATTTCGTTTATATTCTTTATCTTATTATATGAAAACATGGATGTCAGTTGGTTTTACGGAGAGGTTTTAATACTCCATTATATATATTTTCTCAATGTTCGGAATATTTTGACTTGTAGTAAACTGAGTGTAAAATGACGCCAATATTCGATGGCAACCACACTTAATATCAATAATATACCAATTTTGTCGATAATAATCAAAATTTTGGCTACATAAAAGAAAAACGCTCTATATTTTAAAGTAATCTGTCTAAATAAAAGGTGGAATTACCCTGAGTAAAACCAAATCAATAACAAAAAAATTAATATCACAAATGTTACAGATATACACAAAAGTTATCAAATAAGAAATTCCTTCATAAGTTTAACTTTTTTAAAATTTAGATCTACTTTTATGACAGATATTAACGTCATTTTTTTTTTTAATATCTTCCGAATCTACTTCTTATGAATTTGTTTCTAAAAAAGATCAAAGTCCCTTCACCGCAGTATACAATAGTTCAACGTTACTATGACGTATCGCCGTACGTTAATACACCATTTAATACCATACAATGGCCCGCTCTTTGTTTTAAACCCTGTGGCCCGTTGAGCACACAAAAAATACCGTTTTTGTTAACAGAAACAATGCAAGGAATCTCTTTGAGACTGATTGTGTTTAAATCGTATGTAAAATATAGTAGGTAGTAACAGCCATGAGGGCTTGTGGCTCCCAGTTTGGGGTGACGCAAAACTTTCGGTGTTTTTATAATAAACAACTAAGTTGGACTTTGCTATGTGCTCGTTTCTAATGAATATTCAAGTTAGTCCGTTACACGTTAATCAGTAACCAAGTGCTATGAATGCTTGAAAGCTAGCAATAATGTAGATGCAACGTGGTTACAACCTGGCAATAATGTGACAATGTGACAAAAACGTGCCAGCTTAATGGCAACTCACATAGAAATTGGCAAACACATTTCCGCACATTTCCATGCTGCCCAGGTTTTCTCACTAGTGTACTGAGCAGAAAGATGCAAAATAAATGAGGTAACTGACAACATTTATTAAATAAATATAATACATACAAATATATTTAATAAAATTTAAGTAGTTTTTCTATGATGTATTACAGTTGAGATCTGAGGTGGATGCTATTCGTGAACTAAAATGTGCCCTATACCAAATAAGTTATCGTAGCCGGATGTTACCACCAGGTATGTACATTAGAAGTAAGAGTAAAAATCAATACCAATTATAATAGTATTGTCATTCTGATTATTAATATAAAACTTGTGCTCTAAAAACTGAATTTTAAATTAAAAATCTTAATTCTGAAAAAAAAACATATAAAACATTATTACAAGAATAGGTTAAAGTTACTTTCCTGTTTATGACTCCAATTATAAAATACCAAGCAAACAAATAGTTATTAAAATCAAATATCCTCATGAGGTTTAATATGCACCAGTAGAAATTTTTATACCCAAATCTCAAAAAAAAAAAAAGTATAAAATGTCAGTGTCATAAAAAGAGTGACTAATGAAAAATTCCCAAAAATAATGTCGTAAAAATATCTAAAAAAATCATAGTGAGCCATTAAAATAAAGCATAAAAATGTTTGACGTGAAATATAAATAGGCAAGTTCAAGAGAAACCAAAAGAATGTATGACATACCAGAAGATTGTTTGTTGACGTATGACCCTGACTACTTGGACTTACATTCAAACAGCACAGATTTCGAAGACTCACATATTTTAAGGGTAGCTCCCAAAAGCGGTAACCATAGTCTATTCAACAAAAAAAAATTATTGAAACTGTCCAGCAAAGATAGAACATCTGAAAACGCACTATACAACAGTGAAATGTCCAAAAGTAGTTCTAAAGTATTGTATGAAACAGAAACGATTTATAATGACACTGAAAAAGAATCACAGTTGTATAAAAGTTATAACAACCGAAAAACTCAAATGATACAACAAATCGAAGCAAAAAATTCAAAACGACACAAAATTATCCCATCCATATCCAGTATTTTTAAAAAGTCAAGTAATCACTGTACACCAAGGACAGCTTTGAAGGAAAGCAGAGTAGAAAACAGTAGTCAAACGTATCACGCTATTTATGACCCTAGAGCAGTTAAATCTCGTAGACGACAACAGCACTATGCAGTCCAACCTGTTTATGGGATAGAAAGGAACATTTACGCCCAAACTATTCCGTATAAACGTCTGAAAAAGAATCGTGAGCCGCTACCGGCCCAAATAACATCCAGAGACCAATACTTTAACACTGTTTATAGTTTAACCTCGTCATCCGAAGTAGATCATCAATTGCGTCACGTAATAGAAACAAAGAGGAAATGGACAAAACAAGTTGATAGTAATGTTCAGAAAGATTTTAAAGACGGAAATTTTCTCAGACCAAGCCATAAGGACCAACAGCAATTAACTAATTTGATAAAACGGCGACGTAAGTTCCCGTTCCAAGTCTACGCGAACCCTCGACAATACACTACTGTGTTAATGCCCAATTCTGATGTAAGTAGCACCACTAGCGCAGTTCCTTCTACATGTTCGGGTTTCTGGGACTATCTCTTCAATAAAATTAACAGTAAATACCAAAAAGTACAAGTCTACAAGACTTGTAAGTGTTGTGCCACTGAAAGAGTAATAAAAACCAGTCCTTGCTGTAATGCTGCCTGCAACGCTGCTCGCGACCCCTCGACTGACCCTTTGCGGCCACTGACAAATACATGTTCTTGTAATGCCCCAGTTTCTGAAAATCAGGAGCCTTCAGATCCCCCACAGACTGCGTCTACGCCTGCTCCGTCAGCTAAATTTAGTATTGCACCAAAATCTCAAAGACATAATACATCATCGGGAGATGTCAACGAATCATCGCAAAAAACTGAAATATCAGAGAGATATGATCAGACACCACAGTGCCAAATGGGGCACAATGATTTAACAGCGGCTTTAAATCAAAAATATAATGGAGAAATACTATGCATTCACAATCCCCCTTGCATTGTAATCAATGGGTGTTTAAATTTACCACCCATTGGAGACAATCAGACTAGATCAACGCCAATGTGGCCAGTAAGTGATTCTTCAAAGCCTAGCTATCAGAAGATATATAGAGGTAAACGTTCTAAAAAGAAGATCAAGAATAATCAAGAAGATGTTTTTGATAAAAACCTTGGAAATGGAGCTGTTGAACGAAGCAGCCAGTACCATAACCATGAAGTTAAAAATCAAGTCGACAAGTCCATAAAAATGGAACGCAATAGCATCGACCAAAGTTGCCAGTATTTATCGCAGACAGTAGACCAATATCAGCTGACTGAACTGTCGACAGAAGAAAAAAATATACAAAGTTATTGTAACCACGCACCCCCTTGTCAAGTTAAGAGAAAATGCCATAAGCCTAAATATGGCCCGATTTTGAATTCCAATTGTTTCCATGTGCCTATGTGTGAGAATATACCTGTGTGCCTGCTAGATTCAAATGACGCGATCGAGATCAAAACGACATGTCGGCACAGGCCGAAATGTGTCGAAGTACCAAAGTGTAGCATAGATTATTTTGTACTAAACGCTAAAGGGGAGACTGGTACTCAAGTGCGGCTGAAAGCCAAGTTGGTGTGCCGCCATGCCCACCCCTGCATTATGATACCAAAGTGTTTGGCACAAATGTGTGCCGAAGGTTACACGCCCCATGACGCTATACCGAGCTGTGTGCACCGGCCTCGCTGTGAGATGATCCCCGCATGTTGCAGGCAATCAGCCAAAGAAATGGTTTCTGTATGTTCCCAACACCCGAATTCGTGTCGTATAGTATAGGAAACAAGGTTTAATTTTACTAGTAGAAATCGTGATTATTTTTTAGTCGCATCATGTTGGCGTTTATGTAGCTAAATTGTTAGACCAATAATGTGTTTTACTGATTACATGCGCAGTGTCGTAACGTACCAAAGTTTAAATATTTTATGTGGTAATCAATGAGTAGCCATTAGATGGTAATACATTTAGAAAACCTTCCCCATTCCTAGTTTTATAGAATAGATAAATAGTTTCAGGGACATGTTGAGACGGAAAAAAAAAAGGGACATGTTGAGTGGTAGATTCCGCTTCGAATTTCAACTTTTTCTTTATTTAAGTAACAAGTAAACACATTGCCTGCCTGTAGAGCGTGCTGGTAGGCTAATAGATAGATGTCCATAAAAGCTTGAAAACAAGAGACATCCCTCTTGGGTCGCGCATTCAAGGTTCCAAAATAATCGCCCTAGTCACATATAATTGGAATATCACACAAATTTGAAAAACGAATATGGATATTAGGTTACTAGAAAGGTATTTGAAAATAAATGAAACACAAATCGTAACAAATTAATTTTAGTTACTTAGATTAGTTTTAGCATACCACTTATACTTTTAGTTATTTTCCTTATTTTCATGAATAATATTGTCTTTATATCTTTATAATTTAGAGATTTTTGTCAGTATACTAACACTCACCGTAAACAGAAAATATAATATTACGCCAATATCATCCAATAAATTCTTCTTTCTTCCTTATTTATCGTTGAATTGTCATTGGTTTAGCAAAATTATTGCATTAGTAATATTGAACCTGTGTTTTCTAGCACAAACCACCGATAAAGGCCCGGATACCAGTGTTTTATCAGAACAAACTGTTGAAATTATTAAGTGTGAGACGTTCGCGCCAAATGTGAATTGTGAAGTGTTTGGACAAAACAGTGCTATAATAAAAAGTAAAGTTAGTCAGTCTATGGTCGTTTTATTTTTAAACTTTGTTGAAAATATAAAAAATAACACTTTAGGATATATCCATGGACGTATAAAAAAGTCGCACGGAACTCCCGCTAAGACGCTGAGGCACCGTAAAGGCGGCAGCTCTTTATGTGTGAATGAATTTAAGGGTTGCCAAGTTACTTAATTTATGCCCTAAAAACACAGTCAATAAATAAAAATATTTTATTTTTTAATGAAATGAAATAATTGAAATTTTACTGTTTAATGTCCCAATGCTGTATTTTTTTTAACAATAATACCTTGAGAGGTTCTTGAAATTAACTAATTTCGAGGTGTGGTAAAACCGAATCGTTAAATATTTTTTTGCTTCATATTTAATAAAACATATTTCTGTTCTATTCCGATGAAAGTATGTTCAGATTCTAAGTTTAAAAAATGCTTTCATTGCCAACAAACTTCTAGAATTTTTGTGAGAATATATTTGTGTTGTCTTTATTTTCAGCATTACTATTTCTAATTACATATTTGAATCCAATGTACATTTTTCCATGCTACTTTTTCCTAATTAAATTGAGTAAAAGAATATGAAATAGTACGAGTATACCTAGTAGTAACTATTCAATAAATTGATTTTAACAACAAACCAAAAATTTCCTTTGTTTCGGGTAATTTGCACACGTGAAAATTGGCGACACTGGGCTTATAATGAATAATTTTGTTCTAGATGTTTAATTTTAATGTATAAAATCTGGCAAGAAGTGATTGAGTTATTCATTTACCTATCAAACGTGATTCCTGGATTATTTTTCGGTCAGTACGATTTTTTCAGCATTTCAGTACGGAAAAATGTTATATATTTATATATTTTCGTCGCGTAAAGCGTCTCGCTGTTTTGATGTTTGCGAGTGTAATGGCTGACTAAGGTGTGTAAGTGTGCGTACCGGCCTGTACGCACAGCGAGCTGGCCGACAATGAGTGACACAGTTTTCTGCTAGCGAGACTCTGTGCGACTTTTTTTATACGTCCATGTATATACCTAATTTCATACTTTATTTAGTGTGAAACGGCAAACGAAAAACTGATCAGTAGTAATAAGTACTCTGTGATTTTAATGAAATATTATTAGGGCAATTTTGAAACTAATATTAAGTCTTTACCTATGAAATTGCTGTTTTGTATGCAATAAGTGAAAGTACTTATTTTTTCAAACTTTTTTATTTCTGTTATTCGAAGTAATCACCCATGCAATCGACGCATCTTTGCCAACGCATTGGCAGTTTATTGATGCCCTTCTTGTAAAAATCAGCTGGACGGGAGGCAACAAACTCTTCAAACACATTTTGTACTGCCTCTCGGGAATTGAATTTTTTACCCACTAAAAAGTTGACTAAATTTTGGAAAAAGTAATAGTCGGTAGGTGCAAGGTCTGGTGAGTATGGCGGATGAGGGAGAGCTTCCATTTCGATTGCATGGGTGATTACTTCGAATAGCAGAAATAAAAAAGTTTAAAAAATAAGTACTTTCACTTATTACATACAAAACGGCAATTTCATAGGTAAAGACCTATTATTAATAGATAATAACCGATCTATTGGAATAGTTTTAATTAAAACTTGATTCTAAAATTCATTTTTAATCCTAGAATAGGATAGTTTATGACATATTCTTGTAGTAGGTATAAAGTTTTGAGATAAAATACGAGATATTATACACTAAGACATATAGAGTTAGATCTCAAGCGCGCGTTAAAACAAATTAAGAAGCTCGCAAACGTTAGTATAAATGAACAATAAATAAAGACAATTAATTTAAACTAGTTCCAGTCCAACTAACAAGGAAATTAATACGTATTTAATAGTTTAGTCAATATTTATTAGGTTTTCCCTAACATTTAGTAGTCATATGATGGTGTTGTGCTATACATTTCAATAGGTAGGCTTCTACCACAAATCCATCGTTGTCTGCACTTGCTGTCATATACAAATTATGGTCGTGTATCATAACAGGTTAAAATACATTTGTCGACATTTCACTAGATTTTCTTGTGTTTAAAAGCTGCTATATAGGTACAAAATTGCTAGTATAAATAAAAAAATAGTAATTTAACTCATCTCGATATCAAGTTCGTGCCTCGGAGAGCACGTTAAGCCCTCGTTCCCGGTTGCCATATGAACATCTGTAGTAATCGTTACAAAAGTCTTTCTACAGAACTTCGCTATTGCCTATTACTTGGGTTGTGGAGGTATGATGGCAGTCGCTCAGCTTAAAAAATCGAAGTCTACATTCGAAAAAGCTCTAAGGAAAAACTTGACACATATATATTGGGAATCGGACATATGAAATTGGGAATCGGACATATGACATTGGGAATCGGACATATGACATTGGGAATCGGACATATGACATTGGGAATCGGACAGTGGTGTGTTAGAACACACGACTGTCCGATTCCCAAACTATCATGGCAACCAGACTGCTGATAAACATCATTATGTATTACTACATACATACACGTTATAGATAAACCATACATAACACAAAAAAAAATCTCGTCAACCCGCCGTAGATGGCCCGAGGTACGTCAGGGTACCAGGGATTTCCTTTCTAGGGTACACCTTGTTCTCCGGCTACGGGTACCCGAGACGGTGTGCGGTTTTTAGTCAGTTTGAGTCCGACATAGCCACCGGTGAGTGGTATCCGAGGGATTTGCAGCAAAGAAAAAACAAACAAAAAAAAGGGCGATGTTGATTATATTTCACAAATACAATTTTTTTGTATTCATTGCCTTTTGATTTTAAAACCTTTGCCTAACTAAAAATGACAAAATCTCAATACGCTTTATAATAAATATTAATAATGGTATGTTGTTACTCACAGCACTATAGTGACTCATGTTGCAAAACCTCCCTTTCTAAACGGTCATTAGCAAACAAAGATACTCGTAAATTACCAAATTCAATTGTTTTCACAACAGAATATTTAATTTTTAATCAATTCAATGCAAATCAAGGAGAACAGACATTCCTCCACGTTATATACGATTTACGAATACCAAATACATTTAAATTGAAGAAAAAAAACCTGTTTCGGTGTGGACCCTATAAAAATAACTAACTTATAGTTAAGAATTTCCTAATCTTATAGCTCAAGAGAGGAATTTTATCATTTCGGTCGTCTAAAAGCGAGAACCAGTTGTATAGGATACCGCTGTAAAAAAACTATATACAATTTTCAAACAAAAATCAACTTTAGTACGGCGGTTTTGTGTTGATTATTGTGAGACGTAAGTTATAGTTATGTGGCGTTTCGTAATATGTACGTATGTGATCAAAAACTAATGAGTAGAGACCGTTGAACTTGAGTCCAGTTTTGGTCACCGCGTGAGTTTAGGGGTCCGTTGTGGAAGTGATAAAACTGAGAATTTGTGGTCGGACAAAACGAGAAACCTTTTAGTTTAGAAGTGATAAATTAGAGAGAGTAAATAGAGAAGGTGATATATAGTATTATAGCAGCAGTAAATAATAAAAATAACCTTACAAATTTCACACAGGGTACGCGCGGACCGTGATACTAAACTAGGCAGAACCTGTACTATGGTAACCAGACTGCGAATAAACATACTTGTATATTTCTAAACACATACATATTATAGATAAATTACACCCAGACACAGAACAAATGATCATGCTCGTCACACAATATTTGTCCTAGGTGGGAATCGAACCTACGACCTCTGGCTTAGCAATCAGGATCACTGACCACTGGCCCGTAAATGTTTACATACACTCAATATTTGAATGCAGTTTTAAAATGTATCACTTCCCATACCAAGTAGAAGTAAAGTATTGTTTAAGTTAAAGTATTCTTTAAACAACACTTTCTGTTTTTTTTTTAAAGACAACTCTCGTATTAGGAATATAGCATGTCTCGCGGGGACTTTACACACATATATACATGAAACGGACACAAAGAACACCCAGACTCGGAACAAAAATTTGTGGATCACACAAAGTGTCGTCCCGTGTGGGGATCGAACCCACTACACTCAGTGTAGGAGGAAGCGGCATGGCGCTCGTTTAGACCACTACGCCATCCGTGCTGGCGTTCTGATTCTTCAATTTATTGTTCTTAGAGGTGAAATATTTTACTATACTGGGATCCAATAATTATATAACTAAATAAAACTAAGAACCTCCTTATTTTTGAAGCTGAATTTAAGTTTTTTTTTAATAATTTTGTAAAAACGTTTTATCTTGCTTCCACAATGATCGCTTTTGCATAACTTTATAAATAATAATAGCCGTATATCAACTGCTCGTTACCTTTTGCAAAATATTGGTTTTCTGGATGTACCTAAAGATTTTAATTATTGGAGGAGTTCTCCTAGTCGTACATATTACGAAACATCACATAACTTGAACTTACATCTGACAATAATCAACACAAAACCGCCGTACTACAGTTGAATTTTGTTTGAAAATTGTAAGTACATCGTTTTTTTTCACTATCAGGCAAAATACTATTTCATTTCGCTTTTAATCGTTATCTAACAATGTTAAGAGATTTTTTAGAGAGAGAATAAAACTCTAAACATTTCATTCTAGGAATATTTTAACTATCCTAATTCTCATCATATATCATCTGCCTACCCTTTTCCCAATTTTATTTGGGGTCGGCGCAGTATGTATCATTTTTCCATTCTACTCTGTCATTCGTCATCTCACTGTTTACTCCCTTCCTAGCCATATCCTCCCTGACGCAGTCCATCCACCTTTTCTTCGGTCTGCCTCTTCTCTTGTACCCTTCAACTCTCATACCTAAAACTTTCTTCGCCACATTTTCCTCATCCCTCCGCATGACATGTCCATACCAAGATAACCTATTACTTCTTAACTTTTCATCCAGTGGCGCTACTTTCAGACTCCCTCGTATATACTCATTCCTAACCTTGTCCATCTGA